AAATCTGTTGCACATGTAGAACTTTACTGCTATCAAACATGTTGCTTCAGTGTCTGAATGCAGATAAAGTCCTTTGCTATCGACTTGAATTTCTAATATTAGGTAGCGTGGTTGCTGAGAGCCACAGTCTAATCATCTCAACTGGAGCACAGGTTAACGGTGTGTGATGTCACTCCCTGGTAAAAGGAATCCAGAGGTGACTTGGTTGTTTGTGCCTCGTACTACAGAAGAGCAACGGCGGCCATGTGAGCTAAAGACGAGGATTGGCACGGCGGATCTAAACGAAAACAGAACAGCCTTTTAACAAGCTAGTCGAATAAATGATATTAAATAACGGATGTCTTGATTGTGAATATGAATCTGACACTTGGGTGTTTACTTCAGTCCCTCAGCCTGCTCATTTGCATTTTGATTGCAGCGGAGCCGGCAGCCACAGCACACATCTATATTTTTATAGTCATCATGAAACTGCAAATAAGTCTTTATCTTGAGTACACAGTGGACAGATGTGCCTAATTTATTCAGGTGTGTGTGTGTGTGTGTGTGTGTGTGTGTGTGTGTGTGTGTGTGTGTGTGTGTTGTTTGCATATGCGACACTAATCTTAAACGTCTCTAATCGTTGAAAGGTGTCTGAACATTAATGTCATTTGTAATATTTCTCATTTGAGTCTTAATGTGAAAGATAAAAAGGCAAATCGAGACGGAGAGAAGACCTTTTTGAGTTTTGCGTGTCACCACTGGCCTCAGCTACTCTTCACACGGCAAACACTGCACAATAAGCGCAGCTGAGGGACTCCAACACAACGTCATGGAATCACAGAGCGATGAAAATCTCAGCCCCCGGTCTCTTCCTCAAGATACCGGAAATCTGAATTTGGGGGAATTTCTGAACGGTGGCACCAAGCTGTAACAGGCTGAAAAGAATGTTAACAAGTTCAATTTCCATTCAATCAATGCCGGAGCTCTTGGAAACACTCCGTGGCAGGAGAGGGGTAAAATCATCTATATGGTAATTATAAGGATGAATCCCCCAGTAACTTTTGCCAGCATGAAAGGTCAGTTCTATTAAAGATAGTTTATCAGCGCTCTGCACAGATTTCTTTACTCGGCTTCTAAATGGGTACATCATTTTTTTTCTTCCATTTCTTGCAACCTGCTGAAGTCTGTGCTTAAGCCAAATGAGAAAAATGGAATTGTGAATGCTGGTAAAGGCTATAGCAGCATGGAGATAAATAGTTCTCCCCCCTACCTCCCGCCGTGGCTCCCCCAAACACACTTCTGTCTCTCTCTTTCTGATTGGTCACAAGCTCGCGTGTCTCACCCACCTCTAACCTTTACTTAAAAACAAATCTCCATCGTCCTCCTCTCCCGTCGGACTCTGAGACCAACAGAACCCTCCCCCCCTCCCTCCAGCCCGGTGCACAGCAGCTGACCTGCACCCCCTCCTCCATTCCTCCTGATGCATTATGGGTATTTAAAACTTGTCCGACGTGACATCCTTTCAGTTTGAGAACGGTACAAGAAAGGTAAATTACAAAATCAATCACGCAGAAGGTCAAGCTGAGACTTCATTACGAGTAGTGCATGCCTGCGTGAATACTTTTCGTTTCTGACTGACCCAATATGTCACAAATGCTGTCAAGGAAAAAAAAAGAGAAGAAAAAAAAATCCACTCTCTTAAATTGATGTACAACTCATGTCAGTGCTTCTCGGCTTGAAAGGGAGATAAGAGGGATGTGTGGAAAAACATGCTTTCTGCAACAGTGCTCGCATTTTCCATTTCATTCAGGATGAAGTAGTCAGAACTGAAGCTATTGTACTCACTGGGATCTACGCGGCATCCAGATATCGAATCAAGCCAACAACAAACTACAAACAATTCTTTCAGCCTCGGTTTCACCTTCCTCGGGGTGTGTGGCTCTAACACGATGCTATTAAACATTAGCATATCTGTGCAGCTGCACGGCAAATGGCACGTGGAACGGCTAGTTGTGAATGAAATGAAAAATATACATAACGCGTCACCGCGTGGCGGTAAACGCAAGGAGACAGCGGGGCTCGTACTCCCCTGAATATTGATCTTAACATCCAATACAAGCAGTTGACTACTGTAGGCTTCGAATCCAATCACAGAGGGACACAGCCAATTTCAGAACACACTTACACGTGTCAAGAAAACCCAAAAAATGTGGTGAAGGCACCAGGTGTTTCTCGAAATGGAACCCGCAGACCCTCGCTGTGCGGCGGGGAGAAAATGGAGAAGAAATTGTGAATAAAGCAACACTGGCAGCTCCGACTCCAGTACTATTTGGCACTATTGAGACTCAATCACAAATCAGGAGGACACATGCTGCGAGACAAAAATGAGAGTCAGAAGCTTGTTAGGAGAGCAGATTAAATAAATAATGACTTCAGACTCGGGGCTTGCCACGCAGATTGCAGCTGAGAACATGCATTTCTCTTTGTAGAAGCCTGGCATCTGTGGCCAATTTGTGAGACATACGCTGAACATTACGGGGAGAGGAATTAGCAGAACACTTGGCAACGCAGTGACACGGAGGAAGCTTTAGAAAGTAGCCCAGGTATATTCGCCGGTTGGATTTCTCATTAATCTGTGATAAGAGAGCGGCTTTCAGAGACTTTTCTGCAGCGGTGAGCTCAGACAGAGGAAGAAAACCCCCAAAATGAATCAGAACAAGTGTTGGGGAAATAAGAGCACGGCGGCTTGATGAAAAATGTAATTGCAATAGTGTATGGTTTATTTGCTTGCCCCTGCAGCCATAACAAATAACACAGAATGTAATCATGCATATAAGGTTGTCATTCCTTTATCAGCGTGCTGACAAAATGACAAAACACCCTTCTCAGGGCCCGCGTAAATCACCGTCTCAGCGTGCAGAAAGCACCACGAATGGTGCCGTTCTCCTTTCAAAGCACAATAATAAAATTAAAACCCAACAAATGAAAGGGATTTCTACAGGCTTTTGTCACATGACTTTGGGGGATCAATCCTATTTGCAGGGAAAAATGCTGAAGGGCCACCACCAGGCTTTCTGCGCTCCAGCGCGCGATGACTGACAACAAGAGAGCGGTCGTCTGGTCGACAACGCCACGAGGCGAAGGAGCAGAGAGCCACACTCCGGCCCTCGGTTTTTTAATAGAGTCTCCGCACAATCAGAGACATGAGCCATGCAAATGGTGTTAAAGAGGAATAATGTTTGAGAATCAAATCTAATCCTCCAGCAAGTCGTGGGAACAGTCAGGAATGTAATTGTGTCGAGGCTCCGTTTTCTTCCAGATGCAGAAAGCTTAACTGACCATGAAATGGAAATTCTTTAGGCGAAAGCCTTCAGGGGGCGAGCTTACTGTATGCAGCAGGGAGATTTTAAAAGCTGCAATTACTAATATATACGTGCCAGAACAAAAACAGCTTCCTCCCATATGGGGGGTAAATAAATATGTGTAACGCTGGTGTAGCACAACAGGGCTGGAGCTAGGGCTGGGGCTGGGGGGGCAGTGCTGGGATCTGCTGCTCACAGAGTAAATGCAACCATAATTTGTTTATTTCATCTCTGCTAAATGATATTTTCCTTGTTTTTAATTTTGGGGTAACAGGTCTGTACGACAGCTAGTCAGCCAGTGACATTTCCCTTTTTCCTTCTCAGTGCTTCTATGATTGTGGCATTTGGAAATGCCTCCCCGCCCCGAGACAACGATCTCACATTCTGCAGTCCCACATCAGCATTATGAAAGAGATTCTTCCTCTACAGTTACACGCTTGATCGTCCGTTCTGTGTGAAGACGAACGCGCCCGGCTCGGTTCGGCTCGGTTCGGCTCGGCTCGGCTCGCACACACCTTCCTGGGAACGCAAATCCTCACTCTACCCACAACAAGGCTGAAGCTGAACTCCAAACATGCTACGTGTTGTTTCTGAATCAGGACTGAAGCCTGGGGAGAAGGGGGGGGGGGGGGGGGGGGGGGGCACTCGAATTAAATATGAGCACGTCCCCCCAGGGACGAATGCGCTTTAACACCTGTGATCTCTTCACATCTGTCCACTTTACACATGCAGATCATCCATTCTGCAAAGTTGTTTTTCCAATCAATCCTCACAGTAACGTGATTTGGTGTGATTATATAGATTTTGTGACGTAAACAAGGACAGGTGCTGGGCCAGCTGTGCTGATGACAGATGGCGCACAAATGAGAAGGTTAAAGGCATATTTCTGCATCTTAAAAGGTACTTTTGTAATATATATATATATATATCTGATATATATATATATATATATATATATATATATATATATATCAGACAGCTGTGGTAAATGGTAAATGGCCTGTATTTGATATAGCGCCTTCTAGAGTCCTGGAACCCCCCAAGGCGCTTTACAACACAATCAGTCATTCACACACACATTCACACACTGGTGGGGATGAGCTACGATGTAGCCACAGCTGCCCTGGGGTGCACTGACAGAGGCGAGGCTGACGTACACAGGCGCCACCGGTCCCTCCGACCACCACCAGCAGGCAACGTGGGTTAAGTGTCTTGCCCAAGGACACAACGACAGCAACAGACTGAGCAGGGCTCGAACCTGCAACCTTCCAATTACGAGGCGAGCACCTAACTCCTGTGCCAACGACGCCCGGTGTGATCAGCTCTGAAAAGCTCTGATCAGTTTGCAGATCACGTTTATTTTTCACGGAGATCGGCCGCGGATTCCTCCTCCGTCGGCATTCCAGGAATCGAAACTAGGAATCAGGAAAAATAACTTTGAGCGATTCCGGGAAAAACTCAGTTGGAACCGGTTCCGATCGATGCTTGATGCTTGCACCTCACTGGAGGATCTGTCTTGTTTACGAAGTCTCGCGTACCACTTGCATGCAAAATGCAAACTGCACAGAGGGCCTGCACAGGCAGGATTCAAACCAGCAACTAACAACTGCGTGACGCCTACGTGATGAATAACAAACAACAACTCACGGAAGAACTCACCACTTGTTGGCCGTTGACAGACAGCCCTTCTTGGTCCATCATGTTGCGTGAGATGGTGATGGAAGGCAGATCCAGACTCTGTGGGGGGAACTGCGGGATGACGGGACCCCTGTGCTGAGCAGAGGGCTCTGGCATGGCCGGGTATGGCGAGGTCACCTCTGGTCCGAGACTGGATTCTGTCTCGGGTGGAGGTGTGATGGGAGGAATCTCAAACTCCTCGTCTCCCAAGCTGGGGGTGTGGAAGGTCTGCAAGAACGAAGGAAAAGAAATGAATTCTAGGAGAACACCACAGCCAGGAAGCATTTACTGAGGTGGGTCTTATCTGAAAGGACGGAAGAACACCTTCGGGGATTAAATCAAACAACTCCGCTTAAGAGAAGAGTGTTTTAGTAGAGTGGCAATACACTTGCCTGCTAAGCACACTAAGATTTAACATTTCCTAAACCTACTGAAGTCCACTTTGAGGAAAAAAAGATGTAGAAAGACGAGTGCTGTGGAGGACGTCAAAAGCAAAAATATCAAGCAGCAATCAGAGAGAAAGAGGACACAAGATAAAAGCCCTTAATCTTAGGGAAGGAAGATGGGCTGAAGTGCAGTGAAAATGCATGTCACAGGGAGATGGGTTTAAGAAACATTTTCAGAGATTATTACGCTCGGCCAGAAGTGTTTCTCTTTGTTCGCCTCGCCGGCGTCCTCGAATCTGCTCATCAAACAGCCTAATCCTTCTGCCTCCGGAATTAAAGCTTTTGGTCACGCTTAATTTGCTTATGTGCCTTCTTGGAGATGGGACTGTTCACCAACTTGGGTCTTGTTATCATCTCCACATTGCATTAAGCCACTCTGTTGAAGGCCAGAGCCTCATACCCTCACAATGACCACGCTGCTGCAGCGCCGAACAGCGCCAGACTTCGGCGTTTGGCTTAACAGCTGCTGTTAAATTATAGAGCGCCTCTCATACTAAAGTGACATGCTTTCCCCTGCTAATGCTTTGAATACATTGTGTGACATTGTGCCAAAACCATGTTAAACTGCTCGCCTCGGTGGAAAGATCGAAGAACACGTGGAACGTATTAAACTGCACTGGAGAGCTGCTGCAGGTTGATCTGAGAAGCAACGTTTTCAGCGCTGGATGATTGTTTAGCTGCTTTTAATTGACATGAACTTGATCTGCTTTCAGAAATTTCCAAGCGACTCACCTCTGACTAAACAATATGTGCCCAAACGTGTAATTTAGCGAGCATGCCAACTGGCACAGGACCAGATGAGTCTTCTACCAGCTGATTAACCGGCCCACACACCTGCGTTTGACCTTCAGAGGGGTTTGGTTGCTTTTGCAGGTAAACTCTTAAAACTGGGATCCTAACGTTGGCTCTGCATTTACCCTTTCCAACGTTACGTTTACAGGATAAGAACCCCAACCTTACTGTCCTTTGGAGTTTCAGTGTAATGTAAACCCAGCATCTCAAAGAGTTGCAGCGTTGATGAAAGACTTTTAAATTCACATTTATCTAAAAAATAGTCAGAAATGTGTAGAAAAAGTATCTTTCAATAGTTTGAAGTGAAATCTTTTGCCCCGATGTGAGCCAAGCTCACGTTAAACCAAAAGTATTACATGTTTGAGTCGGTATTTCCAACTAAACTAAACTAATTAACACTTTTTCTCAGACGTGGCGCCTCCAATCAGCCTCGTGACAAGAAGAGAGTAAACCTCATATCTGCCAAAAGGTAGTTAAACAAAAAAATGACAACTAATCTCACGGAAAATCATAAAAATGTTTGTCACAAGAGCTAACTCTGCTAACTGTCGTTCTGTCTCAGCCAAGGATGACACAGTTAAAGGGACATTATGGAAGTGTGACAGCCAAAACATGTATAGAAATAATAAATGTCTTCTTCATACGTTCTCCTGCAATGCCCTGGTCCTGTAGAATGAGCCCTGGCATTTTTACTGTGATTGCCTGTTTTTCTGTAAAATCACAGAAAAAGAGAGATGCTCGGGTCGAGCAGGCTGCTTCATGCGCGTTCACGCTCAGGCATCGCCCGTAGCATTTGCTATCCGTAGCTTTAGCAGCAGAGAGAGAGGCAGTGCCACTTTGTCGCTGTTCCTAACGCCTAGTGACAAAGCTAGCTACATTTCTGAGGACCCTTAGCTACTTTCTGTAGAACTTTCTTCTAGATATTTCCTGCAAATTAGCAACAAAACAGCCATTTTCGCTCCGAACCGTTCTTTGAACGTTGTTTCAGCTGTCATCAAGGATATAAATGTTACAGATACAAAAGATGTCACTGGTGCTTTAACTCACCTTGTATGATGTCTGACTCTCATGTAGGAGATCTGGTTTTGATTCCCGTTGTGAATAAAGTTTGTTATTTGGAGTTTCTGTTTTGCATTAATGGTATATTTTTTTACAGTAAGATGCCCAAATTTTTATTTGAGACTCGCCGAACGGCATTGAATTCACAGATAAAAAGATGTAGGTTCAACTTTCATTTTGGAACAATTTTTCAAGCAAGGGAAGGGAATGATCTGAGCATGCAGGAGGACTGACCCATCATAAACCTTTGTCGGCTGTGCTGAAGAGAAAGGTACAGAACCAAATTATTTAATTAATTAGCTGCACGTTCTCCTGTCCTCCGGGCCACACACACACACACACACACACACACACACAAGGGACTGTCTGAGCTGTTATTTTCGTTAAGGAGTGTGCACGTACAGCATGCGCGCCTTGTGCACGAGCCTACTATTGAAGCTGCCATTACGCTTTTGGCCTGAGGGGGCAATCGCGAGCATAAAAATTCAAAAGTCCCTTTAAGACAAGGGGGAGAAAATGGCACCGCGGACCCTGATCAGGGAGTAGAAATGCTCCCTTTGCTTGCTTTAGCACATGGATGCTTGAAACTAACTCACTGGCTGCTCGGGGAAGCTAACGGAGGTTCATTCATCCCGTCTCAACCTCCTCCCTTCTGCTCTTCTGTTTTAACTTTACGTGTTTCTTCAGAACACAGAATCACAGATAGTTGACTGTCTGCTTCAGTAGCATAAAACACCATCAGTGACGTTTATTAAACACGGTTTCTCTTGGTCGAGGACAAAACTGCCTTCATTCAACTTTTCCAACCTCCATGCAGGGGCGGAGCTACAAGAGTGGCTTTGCATGGCATGTGCCACCTTAACAGAAATCCCTGCTGCCTACACCCCGCATGGCACAGATAAGTCCAAGAGATAGACTAATCGGAAATTACATCAAACGTTCCATGTTTGTTTATATCGATCACGACTCATGATGATCTGAAACAAAAACAAGTGTGTGTGTGTGTGTGTGTGTGTTTGTGTGTGTGTGTGTCACCAGAAGACTATATTTATATTTATACATAAATAGTACTATATTTATAATTAGTTTATGCCGTATTTTGCCACCATTTAAACATTTTTGCTATTCTTCTGCATCCCTGCATCATTTTTTCTCCATCCCTGCACATCAAAGTCAAAGTCAAAGTCCCATTAGTTGTCACACACACAGGTGTGTGTGCGAAATCTGTTCTCCACATTTGACCCATCCCCTGGGGGAGTGGTGAGCTGCAGACACAGCCGCGCTCGGGAACCATTTGGTGGTTTAACCCCCCAATCCAACCAAATGAGTGCCAAGCAGGGAGGCATTGGGTCCCATTTCCACAAAGTCTTTGGTATGACCCGACCAGGAGTCGAACCCCTGATCTCCCAGTCTCAGGGCGGACACTCTACCACTAGGCCACTGAGAAAGGTGTAAAACATGGATGTAAAAGTATGTGTTTATATGATTTCCTGCCAATGTAAAACATTTAAGTTTTGCCTATTGATTTTGTTTATGGTGTATGGGTAGAGATGTTTATTTGGATTTTGGAAATGGAAAGATGCTGAGGAGTAGGGCAATGAAAAGCCTTGAGCTTCTCCCTATTTTCCCTTTAAGGACCAAAAAAGGAATCTCTAAATCCTCTAAATAAGATTTTTTTATTTTGTATTTGATTTTAATTTGTTTGAATGGTCAGAAGTGAATAAATAAATAAATGAATAAATAAATAAATAAAATGGATCAAATCCCACAGTGGAGCTCCATCCCAATAACTTCTATGGAAAACTATCAGCTGTATTTTTAGCTAGCTGCACGCATGCACAGTCAGATATCCCTATAGGAGGAAAACATTGCTTACGTTTCCTGATGTAGAGGTGTCTAACGGTTTTTCAGTGTAATTAAGGTAAATTTTTCTGGCTGCTTGAGAATATTACCGAAGAAAAGGAGAACACCGGCGTGACGGTGACCTTCGAATGAAACACGGCGGCTACAGAAGGATGCTGGATGCTTCCTAAACTGTACAGAAATGGAGGACGGAGGGAGGAGGGAGTCAGATCAGTATCATAGGCTGTCCTTGTGAGCATATCTTCTCATTGGCTAATGATGATGCAAATTAGCATCTACACCAGGGGCAGTGATAATGGAGACATGGAGTTTATGTCTCAGATGGGGGGTTATGGAAGATGTCAGCTGTCTGCGTTGAGAAGGGCCTTCTCCCCGGGGAGGAGGTGCCAGATTTTACTGGAACCCACAGAGTGCTACTGTGTTGCACACTGTCTGGTGTCACTTCGCATAAAGCCAGTCTAATTCTGCACCAAGAGCAGCTTAGGGGGCTCTGTTCGGAGATTAAGAGATGCACAATCCACTTTCCTTGCATCACCAGCCTGATTATCCATTTAAATTGTTCTGAAAGGCTCAGCACAGTCAAGTGCCAAGTCAGATGCTGGGTCTGGATGTGCCGACATGCTCGTGTGATGGGACGGGCAGGGGAGAGAACGACACACGGTGTATATGTGCTTTCCTCTGGCAGACCCAGAGCAGGGGATGTAACGCGAATACCTGGTTTACCTGGGCAGGGACATGAAACAGCCGTGTGCTCCGTGTGCAGGTGGGAACTGCCACTTTTATCTAATATGGGCATGTGTCAGAAAAGGCTCAACATCGAGTTTCTGTCTTTTAGCAGCACATTGGTACTTCAGCTACATGCTAACAGCATTTTCTCATCATAAATAGTAACAAATCTAGAGATTTAATTGGTAAATGTTAGAAAATCTGATGAAGCTTTCAGGAAAACTGTTTGTGTCAAACGCTGATGTTGGGATTTCTAATGGTTTTAGTCAATTTTACTTCAACATGAAGGATTAGAAGCAGAAAACTAGAGAATAGATTTAATCAATGAACGCTTTTCACTCT